CCCACAACACTGCACTATGGGATACATGCCCACCGTGCATTGCTCGTACAGTTGATGATGGTGCCCTCCCCGTGTGGACAATCTATCAACAGAGAGAGCAAGTGTGAACCTTTCACATCCCTAGTTAACTGGTTAACCAGTGGGGGTGGGAGCCCACCGCAAGCAGGGAGCTGCTGTGGCTGTTACCTTTAACTTGTTAACCAGTTAAACAGGATTTTACCTCCCTACTGTGAACACCTTAGGCGATTTTTGTCGTCATCAAAACTTACGAAGATCAAAACTTGGCAGACAAGGCCTTTGTTTCCATGGCTAGAAGGGACCAATGACTCAACCTTTCCAGACTTCCATACCCCCTTCAGGAGTCTAATTTGTCTTGGGGACCATGAGGGTTCAGTTCACTTAAGAACTACTTGCTTATAAAATCAGACAAACAAAGTACAAGAGTGTCACAGCACCCTGACTGAGAAGTTGTTTATTCACATTGGCTGTGTCTAGACTACGTCCCTTTTCTCGAAAAAGGGACGTAAATTAGACACTTTAAAAGTGCAAATGAAGCCGGGATTTAAATTTCCCACGCTTCATTTGCATAATGGCAGCTGCAGTTTTTTTCGAAAAGGGGCTTTTTGAAAGAAAAATGGCTGTTTAGAGAGGGATCTTTCGAAAATAAAACCTTTTTTTGAAAGATCCTGTAAGCCTAATTTTTTGAAAAGTACAGGATCTTTCAAAAAAGGGTTTTTATTTTCGAAAGATCCCTGTCTAAACAGCTGTTTTAAATCCCGGCTTCCTTTGCACTTTCAAAGTGTCTAATTTACATCCCTTTTTCGAGAAAAGGGACGTAGTCTAGATACAGCCATTGTTACCATGTGATAATAAATCACTTGGAATGTAAATATTGGACTTACGTTTCAGTGTGTAGCCTAGAGAACAGTATAGACAAGCCATTGTCCCAAATTGTAGTTTGGACTGACTTCAGTAGCGCTTTGTAAGGAGCCTGCTGTAAAATTAGGCAAGCGTTTAGATGAGTTGAGGTACTCGAAGAAGACTCTGCACACCCCCAGGGTGTACATGTACATACCTCTGGGTGAGAGCCACTGGTCCGTGCTAACTCCGGCTAGAGAATTCCATGCTCCTGTATCGAGCTTGCTGTCGTGCTTTGTAGATCTTCCATAGGAATGTCCCATTATCACCCGTTGGATGAAATCCAGGCAGGCTGCGGCCCACCCACCTCCTGAAGCAGCTAATTCCACCCATGGGCTGAGTAGAGCGGTGTTGTCCGTGCTGTTCTAAATGTACCACCCTACCATTTACAGGAGTGGTCCTTGGCTCTATTGTCAGGCTGAGGGGAGCCAGGGATTTTCAGGACTCCTTCAATGCTCTTTGCCAGATAGATCACCTCACCCTTTGCCCCCTCTGGCTTTACTCACACCCCATCTCGTCACTGCTTCAAAGTTGCCCTTCTTGGGGTTACTTTGTGCGCTTTTCAGGTGGGATGATGTTTTTTAGCCACAAGAAGTGGTCCTTGGCTCTATTGTCAGGCTGAGGGGAGCCAGGGATTTTCAGGACTCCTTCAATGCTCTTTGCCAGATAGATCACCTCACCCTTTGCCCCCTCTGGCTTTACTCACACCCCATCTCGTCACTGCTTCAAAGTTGCCCTTCTTGGGGTTACTTTGTGCGCTTTTCAGGTGGGATGATGTTTTTTAGCCACAAGAGCCCAG